AATATATACTAGTTAGGCCCAGTGACCGTTTCACTCACGTTTTTTGTCCATGTGCTTTCTGGGTAAAAATCTATCAAAATATATCGAGAATAAGGCGGGCTCTACTCTTTTATTATGTCTACGGCTACAATCAGTAGTAGCCACACAGGTACACTCACTACAAGGAAACAAACGCACCCACTACAACACTCACATTCTGTTGACCGAGAGGTTGTCAGGCAATGGTGCATTTTTGTTCCAAAAGCAAGCATAAAATGTTTTGTAAGTGAACAGAGTTTTGCAAGCAGAGATTAGGTCCGAACAGAGACAAGTTCTGAGAGCGAGGAGAAGTTTTGAGTACAAAAGACATGAAATCCTGCTTTCAGCCTGAAAATGTGTGCTCTCAAATTATAGCAGAAAAATTCCCCCACAGCAGTAACATAAATACTGAATGCATTTCTGATGGAATACTACACAGATTAAGAAAATAATCTGTAGGAGTTGATAAATTACCTGAGAACGGGGGGTGTGGTGAAAATAGGAGATCGGTTAGATTCACCAGTATCAGATCGGATTCCAGGGTCCACATGTAACAAACTTTTCCACCGCAAATGGCTGCCAAAAATGTTTTCTTCCCAGAAACCTGCTCCCCACCACCAGTGGACCCAGTTAGGGAGACTGGTTGGTAGAAAGAATACAAGATGAGGGGAATGACAAATATTATCAACGCTGCCTGCTGAATTGCAGTTTTGTTAAACATCTATGAAGTTTAAGGGACTAAAAGCAAAAAAAAGTAATATTTTTAAAGAAACTGTCAGGAATAGTTGAACCAATCATTTCTAGAGCTTTCAGATTTATGTCAGAGTATTTATTACAAAACAGATTCACCTCATCTCAAAAGGAAGGTTGGTGCCAAATTCTCTAGTAGATGTTACTGCATACTGCTTCCAGGTGATATTATCGGAGGTTTGTGCAGATATTACACGGAATTTGTTTATCTGAGTCCCACAATCACCGGCACTGCATACAGGATCATCAACGGCATAAAGGAACGTTGTTTGTTTGAGACGGAATTCAGTCTGGAAAGACAATAACATATTATCCAAATAATTAAAAAGTTGAACAGCAGCTCAAATTAAGGCTATTCAGGTACGTTTTCTGACTTCTGTCAGTTAAAAATATGTTTGCAATAAACACAATTATTGATAGTAGAGAGTTTTGGGGAAAGGAAAAGAAAATGGTTCAGTTTTGTTTGTCCTTTCTGTTACAGAGTGAAGTTAAAATATATAGAATAAAGTCAATCGTTTGATTTTAAGTACAAACTGAAATTCTTAGACTTGTTTTGGGATCAGGTTTGGTATGCCAAGATTGGCCTCCATGTAGACCAAGACAATGTCTGTGAGATCAAGTATTTTGGTTAACTTAATCCTAAAGCAGTTCCTCAACAAAAATGCTTCCTATTTTTCTCTTTCTTCTAGGTGACCATAATACTCTGATATGATCATAAAAATACATTCTTCCCAATAAAATCACCTACCTTATATTTTCCGTTTGTCAGTTCTTTTGGAGAGAAGTTCACTGAACCTCCATAGTACATATCAAAGCGATAAGAGGTATCTGCAGAAGCAACCAGGAGCATCAGATGCAGCAGCAGTCCAAGTGAAGCCATTCTGTTGAATATTCTAGCCCAGACATATCAAGTCTGCTTTAAATAGGATCTCACAAGGAACAAAAAACAAACAGTATGCATGTGATGGGACCTGTTATGTTAGTTTTTTGATTGGTGTTATGAAAGCAAATATTCTGACGGTTCTATCAAAGCAGAGCCAGATGAGCGTTTTTTTTTTCTCTTACCAAGATGAGCCTTCCTGAGAATTCACCAGAATGCCAGCCCTTTGCCTTTGAAACTTTTGTCATTTCAAACTTTTTTTATATATTTGGATATGATTCAGTATACAAAACATTCCAGTTCCTTTCCTCTTTCTTTGTTTTTCAATAACATAGTTATGATTTTTTTTCCCTTAAATTGGTGTTATTGTTTGTTGCCCTTCTGTTTTTCTGTATTGGCATTTATTTTCCTGGTCTGTGCAGTGCAGTTTTACTAATTGCTACATTATTTTTTTACCCTCTTACATTCTGTTTTAAATTACGGAGGACCTTCATAGCTTAGGATTTATTGAAACACCATACTGTAAGTCACTCTTGTGACTGAGAGCATGGATTGTTGAAAATTTAATATCACACAGAAAAGCTCTAAAAGGGAATCAAACTTAAAACTTTTTGAACTAAAAACTTTTGATCACATAATAACAATTAACCATATCTGAAAGCAAAATTGTAGTGTAGTTGTGGAGATTATTGGATGAAGATGCTTTTTTTGTTTGTTTTTTTAATAAGCTGCAGGTCTGCCCATCTTATTGACGCAGTGACCCTGTATCAGAATCTGCAACCTGTTAAACCTTTGTAAAACTCTCCTGAAGAAATTGAAAGAAAAAAGCACTCAGAGCTCTGGAAATATCATCCTATTTGAAGGATCTACACCAACAAACACCTGTAACACAGGGCATGATTAAGCACAAATTATATCAACACTTGTATATAAACTTGTGGTTTTTTTCCTTGTGCTTCTGATGATTTCTGCTTTTGTTTTCACTACATGAAAGGGGACTTTTGGGCCGATGTAAAGAGGTTTGGTTCTTCAAATTTCTGTAAATCCCGTTTCTGTCCTTTGCTAGCCTATATTACCTAATCAACATTCACAATTAAATGTATCATAGCTGCTCAGAAGTAATCAAAGAGTAAAAGTTTAAAGAGTAAAGTGACATGTAGCCCCTAAATCGGCTCCTTCTGAAAGCTCAAAATTGGCAGAACTGACCTGTTGAAATCTCATGATCTGAAAATGATTTTGTGCAAAGATACAATGACCATGTTTTGCATAGCCCATAGATGTATTTTAACTTGTTCAAGGTAGAATGGTAGATTTCCTTCCAGGAATGTGAAACGTAATTTTACATTTTTGCCTAATTTTCTGATATATAAGCTGAACCAGAGTAAGATGCCTCTGTTAAGCACTGATGACTTTGACAAGCTTCTACAATGAATTGAAGTAATAAAAATGAAGAGCTATTGACTGGAGGTGGATGTTCAGGTCAACAGAGGATTTGGAATGAAACAAGCTTAGAAGTGACTCAACATAATGGAGACTAACAGACAGTTACTGAGCAGACCAGCAAGCAGTGAATCCCTGTGCAAATGACCACCAGAAACACACCTAGTAAAAAATAAAACATAGCAGTCTAGTCTAAAATCAATTATCTTTTGTCTAAAGCAATCTCAAATTGAAGATTTATCAGCAACTAAGTCATTTTTATTTAATGGTTTCATCACTGAGCATAATATTGATATGTTTAGAAGAGCAACATGGCTGGGACCCAGAGCCCTTATCAAAAGGCCTGATGCCTGTTAAGGATGGACAATCCCTAACCAATGGATCAAAAATGTACTGAGACACGGAACAGAAAATCAGCCAACAAAATCATTCAGACTTTACTTATTTCATTCACTTTCAGCGCTAAAAGGAGACGCTTTTACCATTACATTCAAGAAGAGTTTCTAATAAAGTCTGTGCAGCGTCTGAGGAGGAGGAGGCTAGCTGATTATATGGACTGAAATCACACCATGTCTGTGGCCTGATAAGTTTCTGTTTCTGAGGAATGGGCCTCAGGGTCTAACAGAATGTAGCTCTTTCTCGACCTTGGTAAAGTGTCTCAACATGCCCCATACTTTCCACAGGATTTCCTGAGGGATACTGTCAAACTACAGTAGTATAAACTACAGACTTGGGAGTTTTGTAGACTCCAAGTCTACAAAACTCATGTAGATTGGTTTGGCTCTCCAAATCTCTGAAAATGTTTGCTCTGCCCTTTGCCAGTCTATACTAAGTAAATTTGAATGCGCAAGAGAAAGATAGATGGAAGAATAATATAATCAAATGTATTACCACAGTAAAGGGTAAATGTTGCTATGAGAATCTCTTGCTTAAGCCACTCAGAGGCAAATAACGCACAGTTTTCAGTAGTTTTATAAAGTTTTTATTCCACTCATTTTCACAGCATTTCATGTATTTGCCATATGTAAAAAAGTGTCAAAATATTACAAGTAAATAACTTGTATAGAATCAAGGATATTACTGCTGTATAGCTCAGCATTGTTATTTTCAAAATGATCTAAATTTGTGTTGAAAACAATCAGACATAAATCCACAAAGACCCACATTATTTCATCCATCACATAAGGTTGTTTTATTTTCAGATCATGTTACTTTTTTATTATATGGAGTAATTATCATTCAAACCACCAGTAGGGAAAAGACAGAAACTAAGGAAGCAGCAGATCTGAGTTCAGTCTGTCTCAGAGGTTGCCAGCGGTTGGTATTTAGCTTTGGCTCTTCTAGATCGGTAGACGACCACTGCACACGCCAGCAGGCAGCCGACGATGAAGACCAGGTTCAGGCCCAGGCTCAGGCTTGGTCCAGTTGCTAAAATGAAGGGAACACAGTAAAAACCCATGTCGTGTTCAGTAAGTCATGCATTTATTAAACAAAAAAGACATCATTGAAAGCCATATGACGAGTCAGTTAATGTGGGTGGCAGTGTCTCAGTGGGAGCCTGGAGAGCCAACATGAGTGAAATTGAATTCTCACCTTTGGCATCTTTAGTCCTAGCAAGGTGCAAAGGACCCTGGGAAATGGAGTGGCTGCTTGTCTCAGCCGCAGCGTCCCTCTTCTTGCGATTGTTCCATGAGTTGGATCTGATGCATCCCTGAGAGCATCGAGTTCCAGGAACGCCGATCTCACACAGGAGGACCGAACAGGTGATGTAAACCTGCAGAAACGCAGAGGAAAGTCAGATTTATCTTTTTTTGTCAATGCACTTAAAAACTTACATTTTTAGAAAGTTAGATGCAATATTATACTTGAATTGAAACAATATTGTAGTTGGGCACCAACCCCATTCACAACCCTGCAAGGATAAGCTTGTTAGATAATGGGTCCATACAGGACCAGTATGGGGCCAGTAGTTGTCACTGTTTGTGGATGTACTGAGGCATGATGTATTGGTAGTCAAAAAGATGTTTTTAATTTATTTAATTGTTTTTGATTTCTCACATTTGGCAGCTGTTGTTTCCAACTCCCTGCCAATGCCACATTGCTGAAGATCTGTAAATATCCTAAGTTTGTTTTCCAGATAGATAAGAGTATTATAGGTTGGGTTTTTCTTGACATTCTTTATAGTAAAGGTAGTTTTTGAGTAGATTTAATAACACTAACATTGGGTCCTCTAACACTCAGAAAAAGTAACTTTACCTCCTCGTGAGCGCCGATGAACTCAAAAGCCTCCATGCCAAACCTGAACTGAGACTTTGGGCTTTGGTAGATTTGCACTGTTCTGTCCTTCACACATCTGAAAACATGGTTAGAATGTTTTAGACAAACAGAAAAACAGTTTGTAGTAACCAGTAAAAAAGTTTTGTTTCTCAGTACCCGTTTTCGATGATGGTGTAGCTGATGCGGGAGTTGGGGTTGTCGTAGGGAGTCGCCCTGCAGGACTCCACAAACAGCTCAGTGTTTGGGATGGACGAGGTGGCTTCGATCTGCATGAAGATCATCTGCTTCAGGTAAACCTCCACCGGGTAGCTGCTGGAATCCACTTGCTTCCTAAAACGCTGGCTCTCGAAGAACTCAAACTGGAAGGTGAAAGCACCAAAGCCCTTCTCTCTGAAGGCGTACGGGTTTTTGTGTCTGAATCCCAGAGTCAGGTTGGTTCGCTTTGGGTAGGAGCAGGTAAAGGCAATTTCAACATCATGTTGCCTGGAAATGATTTTATTTGGGTCAGCTGAAGTGATCTCATTCTGAAAGAATATTCTATCTTCATCCTCCTGGAAAGAAAGAATTAAACTAATTGAAAAAATTGTTTGTTACAGTTACAAAAACTTCCTGTCCTGATAAATATGCATGTCTGACCCTAAAGGAAAATGTTCAGACAGAAGATCTGATATGTACAGTAGTTTTCAGAAACACTTTTATTCTTTGGTTTGGTTTAGTGTTTTGTGTAATTTAATTATTTCATTCATTGTTTAAATCTGCCACAGTGTTTGGTTTGTTTATATATGTTGTTTCTCTCTGTACCTCAACCTGAGTCCCACATGCGCCCAGCTCCATCACAGCCACCACATGGGTTTCGTTGGAGAGTCTTTTGAGGTTACAAGAAGAATCGGTGAAGCTATTTAGATGCAGGTTGTCCTCGTTACGTTTGATGATGTAGGTCTTTGCCACTTCTACAGTCATAGTTGTTTCATTGCAGGTCACAACAGCCTCTGCAACATTCACAGGGTAAATTTCACTTTATTTTCACATCGTAATGGGTAGTGATTAATGTGTGAGAAACTGTAAGCATTTAAAGTCTATGGTTATTTTTAAAGCTGATGGATTAATCAGGGATTAAAATGATTAGTAATATCATGGATAAGCTACTTTATTGACTCACCATGGCGACCAACATCAATTGTCACACACCGCAGCTCTGAGTGATAGATTCTGTTATACCTGAATTGCAACAAACAAGAGGAAATAGTTTGAACTGTGGAAGAAATACAGTTGATTATTTATTCTTTGGCCATGCTATTCAATATGAGTCACACCTAGCTTACCTAGGCTATGTTTTTAATACTCACCTATCTCTTGCTTCAGACACAAAGCAAATAGGAAAATGGTCATTCAGTTCATCTTCAGTTGGTGTCCATTTTATAATGTATGTATCTGTGGAAGGTCTCTCCTTTAAAATGCCCTGTGGGCCTGTCACAATTAGGTCATTAATCCTATAGAGTAACAAATGGTTTAAGGGCAGAATGGAAAGGCACACACATTACTATAAAATGAGTCCAAGCCAGTAAATGTATATGATAAGGAATTTAAAGAAGATATGAAATTAATAAACAAGAAGAAAATTGCTTACGTTGTGTGCTCAGCTTTTGAACTGACTTTAATTTCAAGGGTGTGATTGACATATGCAGGAAGATTTGCTCCATTAATCGGAGTTGGTGCCAAGAAAATGGGAAAATAATCACCATCAAGGCATGGAGGAGCACTGTGTGAGTCCACTGGAAATCAGATGACAAATGAATGAGAAATAAGACACTTATTTGAGTAAGTTTTAGGAAAAGTGTTTACATACCCAGAACAGTAAACTGTAGCGGGAGAATGCTTAAAGGTCCAATTGATGATCGGTAAGATTGTGTGGTTGGGGCAGTTGCAGTAGTGGTAGGAGTTGTGGTGGTAGGATGACCAGCAGTTGTTTCAGGAGTTGTGGTGGTAGGATGACCAGCAGTTGTTTCAGGAGTTGTGGTGGTAGGATGAGCTGCCGTGGTTGGAGGAGTTGTGGTGGTTTGACGAGCTGCCGTGGTTGGAGGAGTTGTGGTGGTTTGACGATCAGCAGTAGTTTGAGGAGTTGTGGTGGTTTGACGATCAGCAGTAGTTTGAGGAGTTGTGGTGGTTTGACGAGCTGCCGTGGTTGGAGGAGTTGTGGTGGTTTGACGAGCTGCCGTGGTTGGAGGAGTTGTGGTGGTTTGACGAGCT